AAAAAAATTTTTTTTTAAATAAAAAATAAATAAATAAATAAAAAGTGACGTAGAATTTCTGAGAAGGAAAACATTAGTGGGAACTGAAGTATTGAGAGGAAGTTCCAAGAGGCGGTCAGATTCAGCTGAGAATTAAAAAGCTGAATTGCCTGAGATTAGAAGGAAAGGTATTCCAGGAAAGGAGAAAAACAAAGAAATGTGTACACTCACAGAGGAAGGAAGGAAGGAAGATGGAAAGCTTGGCGTGGAAAATAATTGAGGGGAGACTCTTTTTTAAAATTAAATATATATATATATAATTTTATTATGTAAAATAGTATAAATATGTATTATAAATAATAAATGTATTATTAAATAATTTATTTATTATAAATACTAAATACATAATCATATAATTATTTATTATCAATTATATATATGAATATTTAATTCTTGAGCAAGAAAGAGAGTCCATAAGTGGGGAGAAGCAGAGGGAGAGAATCCCAAGCAGCCTCTGCACTGTCAGCATGGAGCCCGATGCAGGACTTGAACCCACGAGCTCACAAGATCATGACCTGAGCTGAAATCAAGAGTGGAACACCTAACTGACTAAGCGACCCAGGTGCTCCAAGTGGAGACTCTTGGTTGGAAAAATGAATGAGGTGCATTTGCTAAACTGAGTCCAGGAGCAATCCTGTCATTTCCCCCTTCAGAGTTATATAGTCAGGGTCTCTTATGTCTCCATGGAAGACGTCCATGTTTAAGCAAGCCTGTCCCATAGGTTTATATTGGGACAGAAGTGACAGATTGTTTTAGTAAAGCAAGATACACAGGAAGTATGTCTTATATTTCCTCATTTTTATTTACCTGAAGTATTTTTTTAAGACTTTTTTTTAATATTTATTTTTGAGAGAGAGAGACAGACAGACAGACAGAGTGTGAGCAGGGGAGGGGCAGAGAGAGAGAGGGGGAGACCCAGAATGCGAAGCAGGTTCCAGGCTCCGAGCTGTCAGCACAGAGCCTGATGCGGGGCTCAAACTCACCATGACCTGAGATCATGACCTGAGCTAAAGTTGGTTCAGAAGCTCAACCAACTGAGCCACCCAGGTGCCCCTGCCTGAAGTGTTTTTTAACCTATCATAATCTGGATTTACTTAGTGTGATTAATTTTAAGCTACCACCTTCATTACATTTCAAAGTCTTGTTTTGGAACTAGAGATAGGGAAAGGACATACCCCATAAGAATAAAAATCTAGCAATAAACTATATGAATATATTTTAGGAAAAGTTGGAGCAGCAGATGATAAAATTTTACAAATGCATTGAACTGCTAGAACACATCAGGCAGGTCTGTGCGTAATCACCATACAAAGAAAAGGAAGCTTGAACTTGGTTACTAGATTGTGCTTTCCAATTATAAATTAGCAGTTTGAAAGATTTACTTCATCAGCGATTCCCTGGCCAGTATTCTGATGCAGTTAGCCCTTGGATTTACTTGTGTAGCTATCCCTGTTGAGGATGTTATAAGTTTCTATCTCATTCTAAATAAGGGAAGTATGCCAACAATTAATCAGTATTTGCAAATTAATTATGATTAAACTTTCATAATAGGGATTATGGTTAATTGTTGATTCATCTCCCAGTCCTCATTTTCGTGACTAATTCTCATATCAATTTGACCTGAGGTGGCAGATATAAAAATTTCCAATTAGACAGCTTCTCCCAGAATTACCTGAGCCACAAATTTGATTTGGAAATATGGTTGTGGGTGTGTTTTTCTATCACATATTAAACCCACAATCTGTAAAGAAGATTCCAGAGGATGTTTGGGGAATGTTTGTTGTGATATTTATTTTCCTTCAGAAGCAATGCCAGTAATATTTCATTTATGTCTGATTCCTGACGTGTCAATTTCAGCACGCATTGACACCACAAGGGCATTTGTTTGATATTTAGTTATGCTTATGGTATTTGCTGTCATTATGAAGACCTGACACCTTTGCTATAGCTTCAACAGAACAAGTTCACCAGTGCTAATTATTAAATACGTTCAGCAGTTTTACTTTTCATTAATGAGGTAGGATGCCTCATCTCAGTGGACTGCTAATGTGATAAGACTTGAGACAAAACAAAGTCCATCCAGTTGTTTAGTTGAATTAAATCATTTATCAGTAAAAATAGAACATTTTTGTTCTGTCCTATGCTCTCATGTTCCCATAAGTAAGTCAAGGACATAAACCTTTATGTTTTTAATGAAACAAGTTATAGCAGGCTACTTTGACAAAATTAATCTAAAAATATTCACAATCTAAAGATGGCAAACTTAATGAATATTCAGTTTTGAATAAAATTTTTCTTTTGAAGATGACTTGACGTTATTATCAAATTCCTATTGCATTGAGGACTTCATTTTGCTTTGTTTTGTGACTTTCACATTTTTTACGAAATGCAATTTGCCTGTAATTAAGATTCAGAACAGTATACATTTTGAACAGATGTATAATTTATTTTATATATATGCATAATAATGGTTAGACTATTAATAGCTGTAATGTTCCTCTGGTAACCCTGTAAGATTAGAGTTCTCATCCAAGATATGTTTACTGGCCCCTGGAAAAAAGAGAAACTGAGAAATTCCTAATTTTTTGTGAAAACAAAATGAGTGCATTTTAAAGAACGGTTCTTCATTTTGAAATTATGGTTCTTTAAAACTTTGCCTGGTTCAAATGTTCATTAGTTTATGAAATAACAGTGATGGTACATTAAATGACAGTAAAAGTTGACTGGAGGTTCCTATGTTTTACATAAATAAAGAGCTAGAACTCCTATATCAGTTCCACAAACCTCTCATACACTTTTTTTTTTTTACTTTACTTTTTTCTGAAACTTAATCTGGGAACAACTGCTGTGAGTGGAGTTTTGTTAACCCTAGTTCAAGAATTGTGCACACGGTTTAAGTGAGTTGCCATTGTTGAATACCAAATGGTGGAGCCAGGTGGAGTACAGGTGGACTATTTATCTCCTCATACTCCCCCCTTCATATTCCAGATCTCATGCTTTTTTCATCACCATTATCATTAGAGTACATGGCTACATGCTACACCTTGTAGGCAAACGGAGGTCCATGATTGCTCCTTGTAGTGATGGGGTTTGTTCATTATTTGAAGTATTCCTTCCATTTACCAAAAAAGATTGTGTTCTAATCTGAAAGGTTACTCTTAGGCTATTTATTTGAAACATCTCCCCGGAGAAGTAGCGTTCAGAAGTTCTCAAGACTGACGCTCCAAAGCATATGTTATCCGTGATGTATAGAAGAGTAGCAGGGAATCTAGCCTCCAGTTTATTTACATTTCTATGGGCAAATAAGCTGACTTTCAAGTGAGAATTTAGGAAGTTAAGTACCCTTAGTGCAGCCCTTGGAATAGAAATAGGAACCTCTTGGGGCACCTGGGTGGGTTAATTGGTTAAGCGTCCGACTTCGGCTCATGTCATGATCTCTAGATTTGTGAGTTCGAGCCCCGCATCGGGCTCTGTGCTGACAGCTCAGAGCCTGGAGCCTGCTTCGGATTCTGGGTCTCCCTCTCTCTCTGCCCCTCCCCCATTTGCGCGCACGCGCGCTCTCTCTCTCTCTCTCTCTCTCTCAAAAATAAACATTAAAAAAAAAAGAAAAGAAGAAATAGGAACCTCTCCATCCACCTCCACTCCTACCATTCTCACCTGTGAATGAGCTGGGTCTGCTGAGAACAGAACAGAACTTGTGTTACTTGGAAACGAGAACAGATTTCCAATGGCTAAGAACCAAAACAGAATGAGGGCTTTGGCACCTCAGGGGTAATGGCTGCTGTTGTGAGATGCATGGAGCTAAATTGGAGAAGAAATGTGAGGTTTGAGGGGTGTAAGGAGAAAGGAATGGTGAGAAAGAACAGTAGGGGTGGGGAGGGCTGGGGTGAATGTCCGCCCCTCCCATCGTCTATCTCCAGTCTTCCTTTTATTTATTTTACAATTATTTTAAAATTTTATTTATTCATTTTGATAAAGAGAAAGAACAGGAGTGGGGGAAGGGCAGAGAGAGAGGGAAAGAAGGAGAGAGAGAGAGAGAGAGAGAATCCCACACAAGATCTGAGCAGTCAGCACAGAACCTGATGCAGGGCTTGAACTCACCCACTGAGAGATCATGGTCTGAACTGAAATCAAGAGTCGGATGCTTAACCAGCTGAGCTACCCAGGAGCCCCTCCAGTACAGAACAGTAGGTTCTGTTCTCACCTATAGGTAGTAAAGGAGAGGGAAGATCCATGTTTTGTTGGTAGGAGAGAGTTTTGTGTGCTGTTGTCTCCCTGCTTGCAGACTCCTCCACTGAGTTAGTGATGATGGGGATGGACAATGCTAAATGAGATGTTTGGAGTATCTTTCATTATATTTTTATTTTTTATTTTTATTTTTTAACTTTATTTATTTTTGAGAGAGAGCGCGAGCAGGGGAGGGGCAGAGAGAAAGGCAGACAGAGGATCCAAAGCAGGCTCTGCACTGACAGCAGCAAGTGCTCAAACTCCACAAACCCAACCATGAGATCACGACCTGATCCAAAGTCTGACATTCAACTGACTGAGCCACCCAGGCACCCTGCCCCTCATTATATTTGTAAATACTGGTTGAAAGTTGGCAAGTTAAGGACTGACCATGAAAAGCCTCATAGGATGGATCTGACAGCATTTTGTATGAAGCCCAGGTAACTGGCACCAGGATGGTACAGTCAATTAAGCATCTGACTCTCAGTTTCAGCTCAGGTGATGATCTCCCGGTTCATGGGTTTAAGCACTGCATTGGGCTCTGCGTTGATGGTGCAAAGCCTACTTGGGATTCTCTCTCTCCCTCTCTTTGCTCCTCCCTCACTCATACCGTCTCTGTCTCTCTCAAAAATAAACTTAAAAAAAAAAAATCCCAGGTAACATATTGGGCTGCCCAAGTCTTGGTAATAATGAACATGTCAAAAGGGCAAATCTTCAAGTACCCTTCAACCACAATTCAGAATTTTATGGGTTTTTTTCCCACAGTGTGGATGGCATACAAGAGCTGCCTCAGACATTAATTTTTGCATCTTGGAAGGACTGACGTGTTCATCAGATTTCAATATTATTTCTTCACACTTAATTTCTGTAGTAATCTTCAAAGTTGCCTATTTTAATTGATGGCCAGAGTATTGAACAGCTTCTCTTATAGCCTAAGTATTTAAGCATTTCATATGCCATAGAGTGGTCTGAAAAAGCTGGCATTAAATAAATTCTCTTGAAGATATGAATTGATCTCTTTGTATTATTTTGCCGTTTGATATTCACATGATGATGGCTTCAACTTAGTTTTACTTTTTTTCTTTAAAGAAACAGCGATCAACTCATTATATGTTCTTTTTTTGTCCTTTCGCCTGCTGCTGATTCAATAGAGAGACACCCGATTACAAATGCTATTGATGGAAAGAACACTTGGTGGCAGAGTCCCAGTATTAAGAATGGAATTGAATACCATTATGTGACGATTACACTGGATTTACAGCAGGTATAGTCCCTCTTTTTTATTTATTTACCAATTTCTACTTTTAAAATTGTATTTTTGATTTACTATTTAGTTAGTAGTTCTTGGGCGAATTTTGCATTTATTTCTAAAGCACAATGAAAATGAATTCACATGAAGAGTTTAGAACTGAATTAGCAGCTGACTCTGTTTTGACTAATGAGAGTTTAATGATGAAAATATAGATCAAGCACGTTTTACGTAAAGAAAATATAATAGTGCCATTTTTTAACTTTTAAAATACTACAGCTCTCTCGTTCTGATCATGGTGTGTTCACTGAAAGGTTCTTGGATAACAGGGCTCTTGAGTAAATTGCCTCTCATTACTGAGAGTTGAACAAGCTGTGACAGTTGATTCTTAAATTAAACTTGGGCCACTAAATGAGGTAACAAGCCTTGTAGTTGTACAAAATTGACATTCAAGTTGTTCAAGTTTGTGTGGCAGAGGCCCGGGTGCCTTCTACACTTAATTTCTTTCTTCTTTTCGTTCACAATATTCAGGTCAGGCTGAAGTTATTACTCAAGGACCACCATCACCCCAAATTATTTAGGCTTGCAGATAGGATGGGATCTGGTAAAGTGTTTCCATATTTTGCTGTTATTCCAAATATAAAAACTAATTTAATTGACTGAAGCCTGAGACTGGGGGCATTTTACATAGGTTGCTTCTGTAACTCAACCTCTTTCTGATTCCCTGTAATCTGTGAGGGAAAGGCTCTCAGCCATTCCTCCTGGGCCCAGTAGGGACAGAGAAGCAAAGCATTTTGGGGTTAGTGAAGGCAGAATGACCAAGATAGTTAGTGACAGATACTATATATACACTGTAGAGGTCATATTAACACAGGTTGTCATGGTGGAGGGAAGCACCAGCCAATGGGGATTGGTCACATTCTCAGAGGACCAGATAGATACCAGCCATTTCACATATGGATGCTGTGTGTCATCAACAGGAGTACAACCTCCTCTGTTCAGAGCTTGGGCCCATTTTTGGTCAGGGTATACACATTGGGGAACTGCAAATTGCTGGCTGGTGGGTCTCACAGGAGATCTTCTTTTTACCCATCTGGGACAATTCAGGACCTAAGCACCTGGGTGACAGCAAGGGCTCAGGGCTGCAACTAAATCACCAGGTGGCATGGATTTATATCCACCCATACTAACAGCTGAATGTCAGCCTTGAGTTAATGGTATTTCCCAGTAAGTCTCCAAGCACCATCAAGGAATGGCAGGGCAAACTATCACACTGATCAATCATGCTTTAGGTCAATGATCTCTGGTGCGTGAATCCCCTGAGGATCCCACCTTCAAAGTGGACTTCATCCCTCTTCTGATAAAGACAGCTTAGTTCTTTATCAGTCACCGTGGTTCTCTCTCTTCATGTGGTGTTTGAAAGTTGGCCTTCCCAATCAGAAGTGATTTTGCTGTTACCTCGAGTCATTGTCAGGGATAGGGAGTTAATAAATAGTGATGGCTAATTTCTCTAGTTTACTCTCTGCTTATTCTTCAGTTTGCACATGGGGCAACTTCAGAGTCAACTCTTTTTTTTTTTTTTAATGTTATTTATTTTTGAGAGGCAAAGGGACAGAATGCGAGCGGGAGAGGGGCAGGGAGAGAGGGAGACACACAATTCAAAGCAGGCTCCAGGCTCTAAGCTTTCAGCACAGAGCCTCACTCAGGGCTCAAACTCATGGACCATGAGATCATGACCTGTGCTGAAGTGGGACACTTAACCATCTGAGCCACCCAGGCAGTCTACTCTTAATATAATTTACATAAATCACTTATATTACTCTTTGCTCTCAACCATAATAGTATATATTTAATAAGCATAGCAGCATTTTTCCCTTCCAGTTTAAAACTGGATGGTACCATTACAAGTTTTTATTAAATCATTTCTATCCAACATTCCTATCATTATTAATTCGACAGGTCAGAGTGCACCTGAAAGCCCATTTCTCAATGAAGACATTTCTTTTTTCCTAGGTTTGCTTTGTATCGCCACTCATCTATTCCCGCATGATATCTTAAGACTTATGTGGATTTGTTTTCCTGTTTAGTTTAATAGCCTTAAAATTGAGTGAATACTCCAAGACACCTTTTATAGTTGAGTCTTCATAACAAGTTATAAAATTCTATTTATAAGACAGGTCTACCTAACTCCAAAGTCTGGAGTACGCCTAGTGGAAGCCGTACATGGGCCCCTATATTACAGGAGGGCACCCACCCATGTCCTTACTTATTTTAACCCCCTCCTACTTCCTGCAAATCAACCTACTGTATGTTCAAGAGAAGGGCAGTACAATTTGTAAAATGAAATAAATCTTTTTTTTAAAGTTTTCTTTTTTTTTTTAAATTTTTTTTTTTCCAACGTTTATTCATTTTTGGGACAGAGAGAGACAGAGCATGAATGGGGGAGGGGCAGAGAGAGAGGGAGACACAGAATCGGAAACAGGCTCCAGGCTCTGAGCCATCAGCCCAGAGCCCGACGCGGGGCTCGAACTCACTGACCGCGAGATCGTGACCTGGCTGAAGTCGGACGCTTAACCGACTGCGCCACCCAGGCGCCCCGAAAAAATGAAATAAATCTTTATTTCTATTTGACTCAAGGTTTTAACTTAGCTAGTGTTTTAGTGACGTAAAAAGTTAAGTAGGTTTTGTAATCTGTTTTTATGATGGAATTCCTCAGGCAAGAAGGGGCTTTAGCCCTCTCCTTTGGTCTTAGGCTTGGAGTAACAAATTCCTGTAACTTGTAACACATTCCTGGAACTTGTTTAGCTAAGGAACAAAGCTGCAGGCAGGCATGTTTCAATGCATTGGCAACAGAGACAATGTGGACATCCTTAGTATTTATTTACTTCTCACAAAAATCTTAAAAGAGCAGCTGGAATTATTATCCTTATGTAAAAAAAAAAAAAAAACAATAACACTGAGACTTCGAAAAGTCAAGTGACTTGGCCTTCTTTACAAAGCTAATTATGGACAAGGCTAGGATTTCAAGCTCGGTAGTCTGAATCCAGACCAGTATTTCCTAAACTGGGATCTGAAGGCTAGCTTAGGTTGCTCGTGAGAAATTTTGGTTTTTAATTTTAAGAGCTTCGTTTATTGCTTGGATTCTAGAAGTACCACACTATGATCTCCTGGCTTCTATGGGAGAATACAACCATCTGTCTTATTGTAAAACGAGAGACTAGATCTCTCATTTTCTAGTACATTTTAGTATGCCTCTAACATAGCATAACTTCTGTCTTTTTTTAAACCTACATCATGAAGGATTAATAGGTTATTCAGCATAATATGAGCTATTATCCTACTGGGAACCAAGGACAGCAGTTTTATAATGAATAGGTAAATATCACTAAGTGTTTGTTTGTCATTGATTCAGCAAGAGCTTTGGCCATTCCTTAGCTCTCCTTTTTATTTTGAGATGTAGGAATTTCAGCCAGTGCCAGTTTTATTTCCTGTCGTTGATATATACTTGGCTCCTCCGTGAAATACTTTTAATAAAATTACTATTTTAAATATAAACAGCCACCATTGAATTTCCTTGATTAAATCTTTATAGATTACACCAGAAAATTCCTTTTTACACTTTAACATTCTAGGTAAGTATGAAAAACAAAGCAATTTACTGAGAAGAGAGTGGCTCCTTATTTTATTGATAGATTGTTTTCAGATTTTTATTACTGAGGAATTATTAACTTTTCCCAATTCTGTTATTTACTCACAGCATATCTTGAGCAAATGACTTCATCATGCTGTGCCCCAATTTCTAGATTAGCATAATAAATATTAAAATATCATGGTAAGAAATCTGAAGTGATGATAATAGCAAAATAGCAATTTTGGGTATTATAAGGTCCTGGTATCAGCATAAACTTGAAGAGAAACTTAACTGCACAATGTGTATACAAAAATCCAGTATGATGACAAAGAAAAATATACAGCAATTTAAAAGACAATAATGGGAACTTAAAAGTTAATAGGATATCCAAAATAGTCCCTTTTAACTGATTTCCAACCAGATTTTTACTATAATATGGGTTATATCTGATCTCATTTTGTGACTTAAAAAAAATCTGGCCATTTTCTCTCTCTTTGATTTATTTAGGAAGAAAGCCAACTGGAGGCAAGTAAGATAAAACATAGGCGGGCAGGCAGCTTTTTGATAGACTTTGTTAATATAAAGTGAGGTCATTTTCATTCCTGCATAATCCAGGTATGCCATGAAATTAGTTATACACATGTGAAGGAATCTCCTTCATTTTGATAAACAATTCACTTCTCTTCCTGGTCTATCCCCCAAAACTAAAAATGCATTTGTAAAGAAAGATAGTCTTGAAGCTACAGAGATCTTGACCTAAATATTTTATTCATTGACCTTACAGAGACATATTTAGTGAGTTAGGTTAACAGTGTTAAATGAGGTTTGGAAGGAGGTTGAATTAGCATTACTGTGCAAATACTATGGTTTTAAAATCTATGTGAGTAGCATGGAAACATTTTTCCTATATCTTTAAACTGTTGGTGAAATGATTGAACATTTTTGTAATAATAAAGTGTGAAATACATTAAAATATTTCAGTATGTTCAATTTTTTCATATATTCAGTATTTTCTTGTTTAAACATAATAAGGATGGTCAAATTTTCAATCTCAAAGGAAGATTGTTATCCTTTCATTGCATATTCTTTTCTCACACTCCTCTTACTCATTGCTGTTAACAAATCCATTGTCCTATAGCTTAGAGAACATTAGCTCCACCTATTAAAGAATGAAAAGAGAGAGAGAGAGAATTTATAAGCATTCAAGAGGTTGGTTGGAGTATAAATGATATACATTTAATTAATATCTCATTATCTAAGCAAAAGAGACATACACATGTAATATATTAAAAAGCCATACAAGATTTATTTATTTATTTATTTTTTAAACGTTTACTTATTTTTGGGACAGAGAGAGACAGAGCATGAACGGGGGAGGGGCAGA